TATTAAAGATCAATGAATTGAGAGGAAAAAAGTTACACAAAGCTGACGGTATTTTTATTTACAGTCTAGAACTATTTTTACATACTAATTGAAGCTACATTATTTTTTAGAAAAATGGAATTATTGATGAAGTGACTGACAATCGATTTGAATAATTATAGAAAGTGAATTTTTGTACGTGTACTCATAAATCGGTTATCAAAGAAACTGAGAAAAAGTTTTTCTTATGATCAGCTGGGTAAATGTTAGAAACTTCAGGCTGTAGGAAAAATCCCCGAGGCATATCTGATAGTTACAGGAAAAAAGTAACAAATCTTGAGAAGTAAAATTTACAATTGAGATTTTTCTGCTTCAACTAATTACAATAAAACTGGAAGAATAAAAAATGTACTGTTTGAGTTATTTAAATGTAATTTATACTTAAAATATTTGATTGAAAATTTACCCCTATATTTAACTTAATAAGAACTCTTTACCGAAGCAAGTATATACGTTTTCATACTTAATGAGTACTTTTTGGATAGAGCTTTGTTCTCTGACCTGGATGGTTTGGTCGTAGAGCTTTCATATTTATTTTGAACGAAATCATCAGCACAAACTTCGGGTAGAAGTGAGGTGTTCTTACTGATGTCGTTCAGAATGACGATGAAGTCTTCACGGCAAAACCATCCAGCTCAGATAACAAAGCTCCGTCAAAATCATCTACCTGAGCTACAAATCTTCTCCATCATCTCACTTAATGAGTAAGCTAAAACGCCGAGTTAGAGTATAGTTTGAATACACAAAAGAAGTTAGTGAGAATGACACCAACAAACGACTCAGTCGGATAGAACTTTTAGCTAAGAATTTATTGAAATGAATATGCTGGTATTCGATTCAAAGGTTTCAGTCTAAAAGTTAAGCCGATTCACTAGACAGAACACGGAATAATGGCTGTACTGAGCTGTAAACTGAATAAATGTGAGAATTTTGAACTATTAAATTTTAATTTAGTTGCTGAAATATATCATGCTTCCCATATAACCTGAAAGTCCTGAGGTTATATTCTATAGATATGAGCCGGCTGATTAGCTTCAAATTAGCTTCCATTTACGCAAACCGTAATAAAAAAAGAGATAACAGAGCTGGCCGATAAAACGGAAAATGATTTCCAATGAAAACGTTTCATATTTTTTTAGTCAAGTTAATGACTAGAAACATTAATCCGGACTGTAGAAAGTAGAAAGATTTATTCAGTAATTGATATATCAGTAACAACAACAGGAAACATCTCCCAGTAAATAAATTTAACCTAGGAACTAATAAACAGAGATGATGGCTGTACAATAGAAAAATACTAGATGGTTAATCCATTAAAAATTTAAGTGCAGTTTCTACAAAACTCAGAAAAGCATTACGTTATATTTATCCCAGTAAAGCCAATTTCTCTTGTCAAAAAAGGACTGAGTAAGCCCAAAACAAAATGTAGGGGATGAAATATCCGGAAAAATTAATATTCTTTATGGTTAATGATGAATTCTTCTGTATATGATATGGTAAGGAAGTGTGAGCCTGATTGAAAGGCCTCGAATCTACTGGTTAGTAAATGATCCACAAAATATGAATCTAATAATCATTCACGTCGCAAATGAATTTATTCTGCGTAAAATAATTTGACACAAGTATGCAATCTTGTTATTTAAGGCAACTCATATTTCTAAAAATATCACGATCTGATCTAAGTCATTTATTGAAAACTAAGAAGAACCGGGTGGTTGTTTCGTCCTAGTATAAAACCTGAGGGTCTTAAACCCCGTCCCCGGTGGAGTTGCGTATGGGCACTACTGAGATATTGGATAAAATGATCTGCACAAAGTTTTATACTAATAACTCCTATTTTCCTGACCACATTTTTTCTTCTGATATTCGTTCACTGTTAGTAGAGCGTCAATAGTTTCTATGTTGGTCCTTGTAAGTATTAGTCAATCAATATTTTAAATTCATGTGCTGAATAGTAGTTAAATCATATTCTTATTATCATCATTCATATACGATTTTCATTGGGTAGAAGTTTTTAATTTATCTGTCTAAAATTCAAACTCAATGTTCAGACGAAAGCAACATATTTCATCTTATAAGGATTGATTGAAGAAAAGATTTACAACCCTTTAGAATAAAATGAAATACATCATATGAAAATATTACTAAGAATACTACATTTCAAAAACATTTATAAACCCACACATGTGTAACATATTGTTGTCTAAGATTTATACAAACAAAGCTATTTTCTCTTCAACTAGTAGGGTTGACAGATTAAACAAATTAACAAAAACACCTACACTCAACTATACTAACATTTACATGTGTTACTTACTTTCATTGGGTTGAATAAATAATTAAGATGAAACAAGTTTCAAGTAGATATAATCTAACGTTTTATTATAATGATATTTATTTCATTTTGTTTATAGCGGGTCATTTTTGAGATTTTTAGTAGTTACAAGATTTGGTGCAATATTCAAAGATTTTGTAAAAATTTAGATATTAGGACTTAACACTATAGAGAGAATTAAATAAGTTAACGTGAAGATGAAGATATTGAATGACTTTAAACAAAAAAATTATAGAATGATTTGAAAATATTAGAAAAGAATTCAAATCACTCACAATCTTTAAGTCATACTGTGGTGTGTGCTACTGATGTCGACAGATATAAGTAGTGTGTATGATCAGTCAAAAATGAAATGTCTGGCCACAGAAGGTTAAGAAAATCGAGGAAAATAGAAAGAGAACAGAGAATGATTGGTGCGGAAATGAAGGAAGAGTGAACTGTTGAGACAATTGATTGAAATTTTGCAAATGAAGTATTTACTGTATGGTTCTCAGATTCTACTAAGAAATCCTGTAATTTTATGTGTCAAATACATTCGATTGTCCCCACTTTTGTTCTCGTTCACTACAATACAAATTTATTTTAACATAGATTTTCTTGCAAAGTGATTTATATAGGCCATAGTCAGCTTTCGATTTGTTCAAAACTTATTTAAAAATGTCGCTAGCCAGAAATGAAATGAAACTGGTTGAATTATAGATCACTTTTGACTATCGTTATTTACTTAACATTGTCTTAATTATCATATCAATAGGAAAACACTAATCTGTTCCTATTTTTATACACAAATAAATTATTAACTGTTTACAAATTATGTTTAATCTTTGTGTAAATAAACACTGTGTACAATTTTAACTGTAAGGCAGCTAAATTCTCTTCTAGTTTTCTCTACTTCTGACTTCTACAAGTTATCAGTACATTGATTATGTCATAATTTTATTTATGATTTTTCAACCTTTAATACTTCATTCCCAAAATAATTTTATCAATATTTTCTTACTTAACAATAGTTATGTTGAACAATATTATTCATCAGTCAGTCAACCAGCTACAATGTAAGATCAGGCACATATATGCATTGGTTCAAGTTGCCACACCTCAATAGCATAACAAGATGAACACCAAATTCACAGTAGTTACTTCAATGGTAATAATATATAAACGAAAAACTACATAAACGGATATCATTCATAGAAAATTTTTAATTATCACCATTGAGTTTCATTAGTTGTAAACATGAACTAAAACCAGAAGAGCTTTAGTTCGCAGTTTAATAATCACCCTGAATCTTTGACTCATCTAAGAATAAATATATATCACAGAATAATTATTTTATACACATTATTGTTGTTCTGCTTGGTAAAAATATGACTATAAGCATTTCTCAATTTTAACCACTTAACGTTATTTTATGACTATTTGACAATATGACCAACGAATGTCAAACATCATTTCGTCTAATTAAATTATTGCATTTCACTACAACCTTCTTTCTCAACCTTCATAGAAGTCATCAATAGTCAGATATATTGAAACATGTAAATACTGAACTAATTTGAACAAAATTTAATATCACTAACTGATATTGGTTAAATATTTCTGAGATTTTCAGGAATTTATCATGTATTTTAACTAAACTTTAGTTAAACCCAATGCCTTTTTAGTTTGTTTTATTTAAATTATTGAGATATAATTTAAATTGACTTATGAACAGATAACAACTAGATAAAAGACTCGAAATAAATGAAAAGTGCACAAAGTCAATGAATAATCGAACATATTCTAAGGGTAAAACATTCCTCACTTATTTATAGATAATATGATGTTTACTTGTTTATTCACTTATTTAATTTTATTTATATTTTTAACTGTTGCTCAGTTAGTTTAGATTGAACTTATTAAAATAAAACAAAGTCAAATAGAATATTGAAAAGAGATTAGTGTTGACATTTGCTTTGGAAGTTATTCATTATTTCTTCACTTTTTTATCAGTTCATTTTTCTAGTCCATTTGGTGTGTTCCATTTTGTATCTAAGCTTGTGTCGTCTTTGTGTATTTTTATAAACAGTTACAAAGAATAAACAAAATATCAATAAATCAAAACATTAAGGATGAGTAGAATATGCTACACTTTTATATTTAAAGCAGAAAATATTCCGGAAAAATGTCAATAGTTTCGACTATACAATTAATGTTTACATTAGACAACATAAAAGTTACATATCATGCCATAAAGGTGGTCCATTTAATATTAATTCACTAAATATCACCCAAATTTAATGTGCATACGTTAATTATACCAGTAGGTTATCAAAATAAATATACACTGGATGGTTTTGTATAAATAATCAAATGATTAACAAACAAGATTTTAAAATACTGATATAAATATCTCAGAAATATTAACTTTAAAGAAATTGCAAGTTTAGATTGAATTTTATGGTATATAACTCCATTAAAGTAATCAATATGAGTTAAAAGTGATTTTTCACTACTGGTATTTGGAGATCTAAAAACCAATTCAATCACCTATACTGGATTCAGTAAAGAGTTATGAATCTTATGAAGTGAAAGTGGATAATAATATGAGAATAAAATCATAAAGTATGCAAACTATCTAACTTACTTCAAATGGAAAGTTAATTCCTGTTGATTCCTGTACATTGGTTTCGTTGTTATCTTATCATATAAAAATAAAAATAAAATAAATAGCTAAGATTATATTACTTACAAATGCAGTCTACGGTAGTATGGCTGACTAAGTGCATGACAGATATAATCACTTTCAAGTATTTTTGATAGAATTAAGTGATTTTATTTAGTTTAGACCTTAAAAATCAACCAGATCGGATGTTTATGACTATTTTGCTTGGCTCTCAACATTTATACCCAACCCTGTCCGAATTTAACATATATATTGGTCGGATTGTAGCAAAAAAAGATGTATAAATTAACTTTGAATAATAGTAAGTTGCCAATGGCATGAAATAAGCGCACTCGACTAAAATCATCAAACTTAGATTGTTTACTTTCCTGAATATAAGTGAAAAATCACTCATTATATTTAGGTACCTGGAGCGTTTTTTCATACCCACTACTTAAAGTAAATACATTACAAAAAGTTAAAATTAGATTGGTCATACCTTGGTTACTACAGCTAATTTTATCAATTATTACGTTTCAACTAGACTAATGGTCACCCATAACTCATTTCAAATGTCTCATCTAGACTCATTTATTATGCTTGGTATAAAACGACACTAAGAAATCAGTCAAAGTAAAATGTGAATTCTACGAATATATACCAAGAAAGAAATCATAATCAATAAATAAATAGCGAAAAACAAGAACAATGCACATGAAACAACGAAATTCGAATAAGGAGACAACTATGATGAATTTCACTTTTGAGTTCACTCCTAGCTCCCAGAGACGGTAAATAATGCAGGGCGTGGGGGGCAACTAGAAAGATATGCACGAGAAAGTTATCAAGCCACTAAAATTATCGTTTTAAATATGTTTGAATACTTGATACCGGATTTTAGTGCGGTGTTGATGAAGTTATGGGTTGTATAATATTTTTTTAAACATAAAGTGTGCATAAACTTACGCCCTAGAATAATTCTGACCGGAAACAGGTGAATTGTTTATTAAAAACACTTCGTCCAAACACACACTAAGTAGAATATAGAGGTAAGATTTTAATGCTGTTAAGTCGTTTGAGCTAGCTGAAAAGCATCCACCTGGGCTGCAAGTTTTCTGTTTACTGGCATAGGGTAAAACTAAAACAACCCTGGGGTTCATGATATAATAGGAACTATTCACGAATACTTCAAAATAAAGATACTGGTAAAGAAAACATTTGCTAAACATTATTTTATACAAATGAACAATTTGACTTTCGATCAAGAGATAATAATAATAATAGTGGTAGTTAACAGTTCCAAATAAAGTTGGATGTTGGTACTGGTCACAGTTCGTAAGCAGAATTGATCATGTGTTCAAGAAATGATCTACTAATTGACTTTCACTCACTTTTAGATAGTCAAACAGATTAGTGTCTAGATAAAAGTTTGGAGTGTGCACTGTTTGTGCAGTCTGTATAAACCCGATTAGACGAAAGTAAATAAACCGATCATTTTCACATAAAATTAATAATATACGTTTAAAACCAATTTATACAAATAACTGAAACATTAATTATATTTTGATAAAATCATTCAATTTACTCACCACTTTGTTCCTAGTGGGAGAAAAAAGATACAAATAATACTAAAATTTATCAAAAATATAGATAAATTGGATTCCCTTACTATAATGTACATAAGTTTCACTATGAACTGACGTCGGCAAGAGAGAAATTAAACGTTTGTTTCGTTACATTTTAGAACTTTGTAACTTCTCAGCACAGTGTGAGATCAATTTGCCGAAATTATAATGTAAAGCCTTTAATTTGTGGAGTCAATCAATTAGTAAGTAACTCATCGAATCACCGGACATTATAAATGGGTCGCTTTATATCGTAAGTCGACCAAAGTATAAAAAATACTGGATCCTCAAGCTTCGAGTGACTCACAGAAAAGCATGAAGATCTTAGGTTCGGTCCCTACCTACGGTCGCAGATATGTCTTGATAAATAGTCTGAAGCAAGAACAGTGAGACTATAATTTGTGGACGAACCAATCACATTTGGGATAGCAGGTCTTGGATTTTGGCGCGAAATTTATCCACCCATTTGTATGAATAGCGTTTTGTCATTTAGCTCTTGTCGATTCGTGATGAAAACCCTAAATCTAATTTCCAACCTTAAGCATCAACAGTAAATCATAACCCTAATTTCTAATACTGGTTTATAACCCTCATTTAGCCCCAACAAGTAGGTCACTTTAGCGTCGCTCAAAGGTCGTCCGCAAATTATAGTCTCACAATAAGGGCATAACTCTCAGTACTCTTTAGTTACCATTGGTTCTCGATTAGTCCTGTAACATTATTTTCAAAGTAGATAAAATAATACACACGCGAACCACCTAAATCAGATATATTAAACTGGAATTATTCAACAAACAATCTGAAACAAAATAATTGGAGTATTCTGTGATATTTAATTCATATATTGGGTAGTTAGTCTCATTGATTATCTCATCATCACAGTCATAATTATGATAAGAAGTAAAAGATTAAATCTATAATATGTATTCGCTTCCTTTATTCTATCCACATTACACTTAATTGAGTGAATTGACTTCTATTACCAATGATATACTAAATCTGCTACGTTGAACTTCCCTTAAAAACCTTTCTTTTTAAGATCAATGAAATTTATACTATTAGCATTGAATAAGTACATTTTGACTACGCCAAACAAATCGTCTATTGTTTAGACTAAAGATATAATTTATTTAGTTAGACAAGACATTGTCGATGTCCTTGTACCACTAAGCAGTGGATGCTGAAATTTCTCCAAATGCAGGGACATTTCTCCCTAGCTGGTAACAGAAAAAAGTACTCCTATACAGTTATCTCTGTGTACATTACATAATAAAATATATATCACCGATGAATGTAACGAATGAAATATTAACAAATAAATTAAAATATTTAGGAAGTGTAATATAATTCATACATCTGCTTATAAAATTAGTCAGAATATACATTTTGTCCTTTAGTAAACAATAATAAGTGACAACAGAATACAATAAAAGAGGTGATCTTGTTATTGTCACAATTTTATCTGTAAAACGTTTATCACAGGAAGAAAACAAAAACTTCCTCTGCTATTATTTTATAGAAAAACAACTGACACTTTTCTCAACGGAACACAGAAAGTTGTGAATAATGAATAAAATTAGCTACTTGACCTCTAAAACCTTATTTGAACGTTTCAGTGGTTTCCAACTTATTTCTAGATAGGTTATAGATCGAGATGCAGTTTTCTGGTTATGCTATGAATAACCTTAGAAAACTAAGATAAGTTCATATTTTACAATACGGACTGATACAACTTAAACGATTGTTGAACAATAAGAATCATTGGACGGCTTTTTCATCCGAGTATGAGACTGCCCAGTAGTACAAACTCACGACCCTACTGGGGAATCGAACCTAGGAACTTCAAAACTGTTGACAACCCCTTGACCTTTAGAGCACTAAGCCAACACCCAACATTCTACATGTCTATTATTACAGATTCTTTTTATAAAGTTTTGAACTGAGACGTATTTGTCATTTATACCATTTTTAATACAAGTATATGTAGTCCTAACTGTCTCAAGACTTGAAAACTTCATTTAGATATCCTGTAAACTAGGATGAATAGTGGTGCAAAACTATCTGGAATATGTACTTTGTAACTAATTAAATTTTACTTACCATAAATTCTGAGAAAGCACTCGATGGTGACGTTCTACTTGGCCTATGAATTGATTCACGATGCAACGCTGAACATAAGTAGTCGTTTGTTTTATTTAAACGTTCCATTGTAGTTCTGAATTGGCAATAAAATAAAACATATGTCAACGAAAAAGTTCCTACTTTTTGGTTGAGTGTAGAACCAGTTATTAAAGAGTCAACAAGAAACCCTGGAGTCTTGAAAGCTTAGTTTTTCCCATTCTGGAATTCATCAATAGTTCATACTTAATCATTATAACTCGTAGGTTCCATTAGGATAATAATAACTATCCGTTTACTGTGATGAACACCTTTCAACAAAGTATATAGTGTTTCCAACTGATAAACCAAAAATAGGTCTTTAAAAATTGACGATTTAAACAAGACATCTTGGTCATCTTAATAGCTGAGGACTTTTGGTTTATCTGACATGTAATACATTTCAATGATAGCAAATAAAACACAAAACAACTAAGTGCCATATTCAATGTTTAAATTTTGCTATTAACCAGGCAATTGAAATAAGTATTTCAAAGTGAATGAAGGGCTATTCAGTCAAAGTTTGATACAAATATATTGATTTTCAAACAAGTATCAGGATTTCGATTGGCAAGACTACTTATATCTTTTCCACAGAAATAGAAAACACATGGAATCAACAAGAATAAGTTAGTGGGTAATAAAGAAGTGCCACGTACGAATGAACATGTAACATATCAAGTTTCTATACCCAACATCAACATAAATTAACAATATAATAGCTATAGACTAACTGACTGGGGTACGCGTAATTATTGTAACTAATATTTAGAGAAATTGAGTGACATGGCTCAGAATTGTTCATAATTGAGCAGGTGCATACTGGTTTTATCTCACTCAAAAACGTGAATCTCCTGATCGCGTTATACCTAGGTTTTTCTTTTTCGATATCTAACATTTTCTATTATTACTGATACTGTTACTACTCCTACTAATCTGAGATTTGACTTGAAAAAATTTTATATCTATGTGCTAACGTGGTGTGTCAACCTGATCAAATGCGCCTGTGAGTCAGGTTTTACGTTGTATGTAACTGACTGAACAATATGATAGGTCGGATAGGAGAAATGATGACATCAACTTGCATAGAAAATTAAATATACATGAAACATGGTTCAAAAGAAACAAATGAAACTGGAAAATGAAAGTTATGAAATCATACTAAACTGAAGACTTAGAGGAAGAAAAAGAATATAAATTGTGACTATTTAACAGATTTCAACTAGAACGTTTAAATCTACACAAACAGTTTGGATAGCATATAAGTACTTCATGGGCCGATGCCATATATTTGTATAATAGCTTTTAGACTTTTATAACTTCCTAACTTTTTGGCCAGAGTAGAACGTTAGAGTAGGAAAGTGACAAAGTGTTTGTAAAATAAATCAATATAACTTAAGTGTATGAAGGTATACAGCCTACTCGACAGATTTTCCATTTATACCTAAAACCCCACCTTTAACCTATGCATTACTGAATTAGTATTTCTAACACATCCAAGTAATCTTTAAGGTATACCTATCGCTGAATACTAGCTATCTAAGAACGTTTTCAACCCCTCAAAGACGATTTTACACAATCATTTAGTAATTCATCATCGTAACAAAACAGATTTACATTGTCTACTAAGCAGAAGTTGATTATTGAGTCTCCAGGTAGGAGATCAGTGATTGGAAACCCAACAATGAGAACACTACTTATTAGGTCGTTTCTGGAATCTGGCTAGACCTCTGACACTAAACCAGAACACCGGACCATCAATCTCAAGCACCTCATCCAGTATCTCGTTATTTTTATAGCACTGGTTATGCATAAGGGAGACGATGAATTAGATTAGGAAGAGTTATCAACACAAACAGAGGGAAATTTAGGTAATCAATAACTAGATACTATTTATATGAACATTTGAGAACATTAAAATTAGACACGGATTATTCATCTTATGAATAATTTATTAACTGTTCCATAGGCTTTTGGTTTATGAGATCAATTAAGTTATTCATTGGAACTTATAATTCAACTCTATACACTTCTCTTCTTGAATTTACTTTAGATAAACCATGTCCTATACAAAAATTAATATCTCATACTTAAGCCATATATATTAAGATATTGTTTGCATTGTTTCCTTATTCATTCTCTCAATTACTATACTTTAGAATATGTTTCCTAATTGAGTAACAAGACTACAAATCTCTATTAGCTTAAAATCAATTGAAAATAATAAGTTACATACATGAAATTGCATTTATTTGATCATTCACAAATAAATGATACTTACCGCATAACATTTAATTGAGAATATAGATTTTGTTTCTCTTCTTCTTGACTAATTAATTCATGTTTATCCCTTGAAATAAATTTTTTAAAAATGAACAAATAAAATTTTCAGATTAATTTTTACTATAAAATAATATCGAATCATCATACATGTATTTATTTATCCTAATTTTAGATTTCTGTGCACTACCTTCACTTCACATACAATTGAACATAAGATGATTGTATTTGATGAGATTGTTTAATTATCACAATTCTTTGTGTAATCTACAAAATTGAAGTACTAAATGATTTCTATTGATAAAACTTCAGTACTTAGATGTTGATTGACTTTAATCAAATACCCAATTGATTAACAACTTGATATATGTCATTATGTAAGACTTGTTCTTTTTTCTAGATATATAACAATCGAAGGTACATATATCTGTATATAAGTATGAAACATTACAATCCATTTAAATAAACCTGTAGAATAATAAATAAATTATTATATTTGTAATATCCCAATGAGTAGAAAAATTAAATTTTCTGATAAGATGGAAAGAAAAGTCAAAATTCGATCGATTTACTAATTATGAGTTTTGTTCAACGTTACTTCCTTTCTGAGTCAATGTGATCATTCAGTGTAGTAATTGTTTTCTTTTCTCGTATGATATTTTATTCTGTATAATGTACGATATTCTTGTATTTAATTGACATGAACTACGTTCTATATGTGATTTGTTAAAACTCTAAATATTTTTCATTTATGTGACTTCATCCTAATTATTAATCAAAGTGTGTGTGTGTGTGTACAATCAATGTATAAATGAGAGTATTTTCGACTAGGGTTGTCGTCGTCGTGTTTTGGGGTTAATAAATTTTTACTTATACCAGTCTTGTGTTCTTACTTCGTGTCGTGGGAATCGTGGAGGTCTCTTCGTTCCGAGTATAAGTGATCAGCGTTTTCCGACACAAAAATCAGCGACGACCAGGTATAACAAATAGCATTCGATTCACAAGTTATAACATTTTCTCTGAAGAAGTGGCTTATACTGGATATTACAAATATATTGATTTATTTATAACAATCTATCTAGTGTTCGATTTATTCGAAATTATCAAGTCAAACCTTGGTAATGATACCTACTATATAATAATAAATTAGTTGAAATACATATTTGAAGGAAAAAAAGACGACACAAAATATAAATGATTACATAGTTAATTGTGCTTCTTGTTGAATTAATTGATCTTTCAGTGTTTTCAATTCAAATTCTCTTTGAGCTAGGATTGATAAAACATTTTGTAATTCAATTTTATATGAATTTTGTTCTATAGTTTCATTTTGATTAAGATGTTCATAATGTAAAGAAATTAAAGAAGAATTTGATTTATCAAATGGATCAGTAATTTTTTTCAATATAATAGGACTATTCATTGAATCACAACAATTAGAGGTATGATTTTTAATTTTCTACATAAATAAATATAAAATAAAATAAAAATATCAAGCGGGAATTAATTTTTTTTAAAAAAAATAAAATTTTGTAAATTATTAAACATATTAAATGAACTTGTAACTAGATTCATTCTACATATTATATCAATTCAATAAATACTGAATCAAAGGGGAATTACTTGAATATATTTATATTCAGAATAAATTAAAAGAGGGATTGAGAAAGATATACTTTTTTAAAAAGAAAAAATATTCTCTTTGTAGATAAAACTAAAATTTCATATTATAATAAAATACATTAAATTTGTTCAGATTGCTACCTAAAAACTGAATCATAGGATATTCATTACGATTATCCTAATTGTTCAATCCTTGAATCAAAATTTATTTCATCAATCAACTTTATGTTGATTGATGTATTAAAAATGCAAAAATCATTCAGTATGTGCTAAATCACTAACAATATTCTGAAATATTAAATGATATCGGAAGTTTAAAACTCTTAACCTATTTCTAGAAAAATAATATCATCAGTATGGGGTTTTGGAGATTATTAAGTTTATGATTGAAATAATTACCGTGTGTTCACTAGTGACTTGCTTCGTAAGGGAATTCCTGGAGTTCTAGTGAGAAACCTCGACCAGTGGAGCTAATCCGTGTCGGGTAGAGACAGGTATCTACCTCAGTACAATCGAGGACGGTCGCGCAAATTCGTGGATTGGTTATACATTAACTTCGTTGGATGCCGACTCAGTGAATTAAACGTTTTGCTAACATTGAAACCAGAATAACTATAAAGTAAGAAAAGGTCTGCTAAGTTTAACAACTGTACTACATGCCCCATTAATTAAGAAAAGAGTTTATAGATACAAATATTTGAGTGTACAATAATTAAGGCTCAGATAAGTTGATAATAGTGAATCATGAATACTCAAACATCACTGAGAGTATTAGTGTGTGATGTATGCTACTTATGTTGACAGATATAAGTAGCATGTAGCACCGTTCGAAAGTGGGATGTCTGTGAGCAGGAGGTTGAGAAGACTGAAATGTAGAGATGAGAGGAAACTGAAAGCAATTTAAATAACAACAGGAATTAAAGGACTATGAAGCTTGTAGGAGGCAATTCAAAGATGTACAAATGATATGTTTACTGTATTATTTTCACATTTTACCAAACCACTGAATGATTGTGCATTAAACAATAAATTGGTTTTACCCACCAAGTCATTCTTCACTACATATATACCACTTGAGACAAAAATCGATGAGAAAGCTCTTCTATGAATCAACCATAAGAAATAAAGTCCAGTAATTTAATATCTTAATTCTATCAAATTCAAGCTGAAACGAATTCAAATGCAATAATACAATAAATAAAAATTATTGCTACTTCAGATAATACTCGTACACGTTGTAAACTTTCAACTTGTTCCCGTATTTCGGTGATTTCTTGTTCTTTGTTAGAGACCAGTGTTCTATACTCACTTTGTAACTTTTCATGTACCTAAAAAACGCAATACAGTAAAACGAATCCCTTTAAAATAACGATATATATATATATATATATATATATATATATGCCCATATTACTGCTTGAAGATAGAATAAAATATTTGGAAATTTACTTTCCACTACACGTAAATAATTTTATTTGAACACATAAATATTGGTACAAGGGAGCACCAAATATATATGCACCACATAAAATTTTATTTGTGTGTAGGCTGCCCAGGTGCCCAGACCGAAGTAGGTGGTTTTCTTAAGGGGCCACACCCCGAGCCTTTGACCTAAAGGTCTAACCCACAAGGCGGTAGAACATCGTGGAAAGATGCAGTCCCATGGTAGCCGATGACCATATGCCATTTCTCCCCTCAGGATACTGGAGTCCATGTGCACCATTGGTTTGGGATCCGTTTAAAGCGCCGGACATTAGCTTTTCGTCCTCTCATTTTCGTAAACACCACCCAGGCCACGAAGTAATATTTATCATGGAATAAATATAAGTAGAAAGTCAATAGAAGACTGATCCACTTTCATAAAGATAATGAAATAAGTCGGAGTGTTCTACGCCCGTTTGAAAATGGAACTAATGAACTGTAATAGAAACATCAGATAACTTTCAAGAATTTCGCAACAACTATTACATTGACTATCAACGTAAGGTTGAAAAATGTCATAGATTTCAATAAACATCAGATTGATATTTGTTCGAATTGTTTTGTTATTAGTGTTATATCTATAAATTGATTGTAGGAAATCCGCCATAATGTCCATGAATTGTCATTTCACGTATATTAAATTATCACGGAAATTCAACGTGGTTTACTTTTGTATTTCTATGTTGACTACTTACTAGTAGTTAACACAATATCTGGTATTATTATTGGCTACTGATTTAAATTTTTGTAAAGAAATTTTTGCTGAATACTGTGGCTGATATCAGTTATCTGTTCATCCACATTAAGAGATTGCTAAGCTATCTCGGAATAGCAAATTTCTAACCACATCTCACTATCCAAGAATAAATTGTTTTACTAATATAATTGATTTTCGAATCCTAGTATGACCAATAATAATGATAATTCAAATAGGATTTTCTTCATAAAGTTTTTGCATTCATTTTCTATGTACTTCTTACAATAAACAATGGCAAATATTAGTTTGAAGAGTACTAACTAACTAGCACAACTAAGTGATTGTATAGTAAGAAGCTTACTTCCGATTTGGCACGTTCCTCTATTGATTTAATCTGTAATTCAAGTTCACCTTCTAATCTAGATAAATCACTTTTACGTTTTTCTTTCTCTCTGTCATGATCGCATAGAAAAATAAACAAACAAAAAAATAAAACGAAATATGTAAACATTTTGTTTTTGGTTGAGAACAAAATAACAAATTTAATATATGGAGGACTAATATGGTGTTTTAAAATTTTTAGAGAATTAAGATATTAATCTGAAGTATTAACAATGTTTCAAAATCAGTAGAAACTAACTAGTGCTGAACAATCGGTTCTTCTCTATGATTTACACTAGCGCTCAAAATCAATCTAATACACAATAACACTTTATAAATCTAACAAGGTCACATCTTGAAACGATGGAGATTTTACTAAGCCATAATCTTTGAACTTAGTAAATAACAAATTCCAGTTACAGTCGATTTCAAAGATAGAGGAACTGTCAACGAGTGCACATATTTTCACGCTTTAATCCAAGATCTTCATAGATTGTCTCGTATCAGAAATTCTACATATTTACATCAAATTGAGTCGCTATTAAACATTAAATTGACTCTAATGAGAAATCGAACACAATCCTTGACAATATGTGATTTAGCGCTGTGTGATATCAGCAGTATTCAGAAAGTAGGATTAAAGAACAATTCCTTTTTACCGTTTTTTATTGATGTTTAAGTTCGTAGCCTAAATTATTTAAATTATTCACTTTGATAAGCACTGTCATTACATCTTGCCATCAGAGCATATCAGCGTTTGGTCGTCATTGAGCTATGTGGCCTAAGATCATAAAGTTTTATTTTTGATAGGAAACAGATGAAGTAGGTTTATAAAATATTATAGACCCTGATGGCATTCATTGGTGAAGAACATTTGAAATATCTTCAGTCATAGTAATTAATAACTATGGTTTAGATTTAAGATGAATTGTACACTTTTCTTTCATCGCAGTAATATATTACTGACAAAAAATTCCCAGAACGGTTTTTAGGTCCTCCTATCTGGGTTAACACTCAAGAACAACTAATTCATACGCATATATACATACATGGCAGATAAATTGAAGTAATGTGTATAAACCGGTTAGTTAAGAGAATGAAGCTTAAGAATCGTGTTTTTTTTATGAACTTAAAACGTTACTGATCTATACTAGAAATTTAACAGAGGTATTAAACATGTTACTTAAAAACAATAGATACTTTTTTCCCAAATGACAATGCTAACTAGATGAGCAACTGTGAAGTGCCAGAATAATTAATGAAAAGTTAATATAAATGATATTACTTTTACTTGTTTAAAAAGTGATTTATTACAAAAAAAACAAGAATAAACAACTCTCTCATATTCAAAACAGAACATAAATGTAGACTCCTGAAATATTTTTATGATTAGAAAAGATATAGAAAACGTGATAAATGCAACGTATTAAAAATTAATAATATAATTCGGAAATATTTGACAGTTTCGTAGAGTAAATTTATCAAATTTTTCCTATTGAAGATTAGACATGCAGGATACAAATAGACATTTGGATAGGAAACAAAAAAAATTAACCATTTGTCATTGTCATTTATTAAACTAGAAATGAGTAACAAATATAAAGGTTACTTCTGTCACAAACTAATGTCAGTAGAATAACAAACTGTTATTCTAAAATTAGTGAGCAGTTACTATACTGTCACGATTACATAATGTTATGAATTCTGTAATATTCAGTTACCAGTGATAAAAAAAAACTTTTTGAAATCTGGTTAAAAATTCAAATGAGAAATATGCTTTTAGTAAAGCGTATCAATTTAGTGTATGCCACTTGTAGTACAACCTGTGTCATTTAAGATATTAGGACATGAAACCATACTTAGAAAGTTGTATTCATGTCAAGTGATCAATTTATTGATAAGCATATAAATATCGTTATCATTAATAAACGTACACTTATCCAGAAATATATCTTACTGTTCATAATCCATTCTTCTGATATATGATAACTTTGTGTGGTACCTTGAAGTAGCTATGAGAAATATATAATTATATTTGTATATATCTATAATCTACAAAATACATTCCTTGCTATTCTCACAAATTTAAGGATTCTAATCTTGTATGGTCATCTTAAAAGATATACTAACGAAAAAACAGAAATAAATATTGAGTAAGAAAGTAGTTAGATAAAGTATTCAGTAAAATAACAAACCACTGTATCAGTTTTGCATATAAGTAATATATGCATTATGGTTCAATTACAATATTACTTTATCACAATTGCACAGTAAAGTTAAGGCTAAAAACTTAAAAAACAGATCAACTAAGATTTATCATTGATCAGGGAACTGAAATTAGAAATATGTACAAATTCATATCCGGTTTCAACAAATCATCTCAAACATATACAAAATTTAGCATTAACATTGGCTTTAATAATTAAACATCAGTGGTTTTTCTGTACCTTGTTTTTTTATTCCAAAAAAGATACATTAATTAATCTTAAAGAAAAGAATAATTCGCAACTAAATTGATTCTCACTTTTACTAATAAGACATAAAACTAAAATGAAATTTTAAGCGATTTCTTAGGATAACTCCAACACGTTTTAGTAAGTAATATAAATTGGAAAAAAAAGAAAGAAAATAAAACAGATGTTTTAATTCTATTCACAAGGCATTCAGAAAAATTAATCACTGAGAACATGAAAATAAATAAAGGGAAATAATGAAGGTTAAGATATTTTTAAGTACCTAACCTTCACTGAAATATTGAAGTTTTTCAAGTTTATATTGAATAATGTCTTAGCGATCAAATCATTATTGTACTGCATATTTTAAATAAAATAAAATCGTATATATATATATATATATATATATATATATATATATATGCACAATATTTTCGTGATTTTATCAAACTGGCGGATAAAGATTTTTCAAAACGTAAAATGTAGTTGCTTAGAACTTAAGTTATTTTTAAATTTTCTTTAAAACATCTAAAAAGTGAAGTTGAATTTATAAGTGAACAAACGAAACTTCGCTTAATTTCACCTCGTCGTTATAAGTATAAATCTTTACAGATTTATTTCAGTAAATGAATAAATCTATTCAACACTATTTATTTATCTGTATAAGGTTGTGGAGATTGTTGAATTTTAATTGAGATCATGAACTGATCAATGTTAGACCACAACTGAAAAACTGGAAGATTGGGATATTTCTATTCATTTTTATTATAACATTAAATACATTATTATAATTATAAACTAAACAAATGTAAGTAGGTTATTTATTCTCTTTATTAAAGTGTTCATCAATTTCATCAAATCAGTTCAGTATACTACATTTACTGAGAAAGATGAAAATGCAGTTGAAACTGATTATCAGTATATATATATATATATATATATATATATATATATATATATATATATATATATATATATATATATATATATATATATATATATATATATATATATGAGAGCAAAAATTTACGTTCATTCATCAAAATAATCAGTAGGGTTATAAATGATACATTTAATATTCAAATAACAGTTCAGTGATGAACTAGTTCAGAAGACAGCAAGCCTATTTCGATGTTAAGTTTCTAAAGACTCATCATCCCTGTTGCACTTGTTTACTGATCAGTTTGGTTATAAGTTTATCAGCACAACTGGTGTAGACTAGTTAAAACTTTGTTATTGTGACCGGAGTGTTTAAAGTTTGCTGTTTATTTTGTTTAAACATGGGACAAATTATAATTTGGTGCCTAATACTGTAAGGCTTATGTTATCCGTCATGTTTTCAATGTTCAATAATTGTTAATAATAAATATATTTCCGTTATATCCCAAGGATTGGAAAAATTGTATTTCTGGCGTTTCGTGACTTAACGTAAGCCACTTCGTCAGAGGAAATATATATATATAACATTTAAAATGTAATAAAACATCAAGAATTATTTTAATCATTAAATAATTTGGTAAAATATTGAGAAAGGGAATACATAGATTTATAAGCTGTTTGTATCTTAAGGAAATGCTTAATTTCAACCTAATTTAAATTATTTCTCTGATAATGAGAAACTTACGGACAAAGTTTTCATCATAAGAGCTCCAACAAAAGTTCACCACAATCATACAAATAGAATATATATACATATAAATCAGTAATGACTTCATTTGTTTCATTTTCTGAAATACGAAGTGTATTACTTGCTAAATATGGTTCGTTCGAAGTATTTAAAAGATTCATTTGATATTTTGTTTCAAGCAATTAAGTAACTGGTTAATAAAACGACTAGTGATGATAAAACTAGTGTTGGGGCCAATCAAAATTAAGACAAAGAATTTCGGTGTGAAATTCACTCATCCATATAACTAAATAGTATTTTGTCAATACAGATTATGTGAATTCATGATGAAAACCCTAACTCCAGATCACGACTGCTCACAATAATTATTGATCTTATTATGACATCGGTAAATGGTTAAAACTTCCTAAGATCACTACAGGATCGCTCGAATGTCGTCCATAAATTATAGTCTCGGCAATGTTAGTCTCAGAGTGTAGGCTTGTTTCTATGGTAAATATATAGGGCCAGTGAACCCTGGTCCAATTATTCCTCAAGGTAAACACAATCATACCTTAGAAACCTGACCACTAAACGATGAACGGTTTCCCAAAGTTTTTAAAGTGAATGGACGAATGATGCGAATGCATCATTCAATGAGACGTCTCCAGAATATGCAGTAGAGTAATCCCAATTTATACACATTAGTACTTGTTAATCTGTTCTATTAATAAACGTTCCACTGGTTCTGTGTGTTCTCTAAAAGCCTTAAACAAACATAATATCCGTACAACAAGGTAAGAATAGGTTGGACTAGTAAATCGTAACATAGTAATTCTTCAACGTGAGATTACTTATGTTATGCAGTCATATCATCATAATCAATTATCGAAGATCGTTAACTGAATAATGTAACTAAGATTCATAATACCGATTTATTCTTTACGCCTACAAATGAAGATACACTAAAATATTTCGAATCGCTAGAGAAAATTGTAAGTTGTGATAAAGAATGCCACTGAAAGTGATTTTGAGAGTACTTGTAGATTTGATCAACATTTGAGATAACTTTTAAAAAATTGCTTTACTACTTCCAACTACTAAGTAGCACATGTCCCTAACAAAAATCTTTCAGTCCATGATCTGATGATATACAAAAGGAACGGAAATTAAAGTCTGTTTGACAAAATCGGTGACGCTCTTTAGGCTCCCAACAAACTTATTTATATTCAAAGTTGTTAGATAAGTATTTATTGTTAAATATCCTCTAAAAGCACATATTTCTATTTTTACTGAGATGACGAATGGATCTAAGTTAGACAACTTCGGAAAGTCTGAGAACACTGGATTGCCATTTTGTCCTAAAGTGGGACTCTTCAGGAGTGTGCATACACAACCTCAGAACTAATGTCAGACTCAGGCCTTCAGTGTTACGAGCAAAATTCTAATCTCTAGACCACCAAGTCGGACCCAAAGGTATACAAGTTTTTCAATCACTCGAAGATGCTGAGCGACTATGATTGTCTTAGATCGGTTTGTGATCTTAAAAATCTCCACACATCCGTAATGAAATGTCTTGATAGTGTAGTGATAAGATGGAGTTAATCCAAAAAATGTGATTTATTTTTGCTGAATATTTCGAAAAATTTGGTTACACATATACCTGTTAACTTATTTGTATACGAGGAAATACTGAGGATAAGTGAAAACACAAAAGAGAAGAAAGAATTATAACACGTAAACAATAAGATGTTTAGGTAGTTAAATTGATTTGGAGCTTATGTGGGTGATTTTGGTGGGGGTTTCCGGTGAATAGTTTCTATACAACATTTTAAAAGCTGTATTATGGACAATTCTACGCCGTGTTTCAATGGTGCATCCTGTTAATTTCCATTTGTGAGAAAGTAGTAAGTTACCCTGAACCTTAAGAGAGTAACACAGTGTCTGGTTGACATCTATGATTATAACAATAACTTTAAACTGTAACTATAACATTGGTAAATTAAAAATGATATTTTAGCCAACAAGGGATGTGATGACTTCTATCAGGGTTATCTAATAAACTAATTTTCAATAGTTGAAATCAAGAGTCAATTAAAGCCAGACCACCATGGAAAGCCTGGAAGCACTGGATGGCTGTTTCATCCTATTGTGGGACTCCTCAGCAGTGCACATTCACGGTCCCGCCCCCGCACACACTGCTGAGGAGTCCCATAATAGGACGAAACAGCCATCCTGTACTTCCAGGCTTTCCATGGACTCATGATTTCAACTATTGAAATTTCTAAAATCTCCACAAAACCCCTTCTGAAACTAACTTTCATTTAAATCATTAGTCCTTCAAGAAATAAAAAGCGTTTGTGAAACAACCTTATAATAGCCGTCATCACCGTGTTATTATGATTATCGGTGTTTTTTGTGTATATATGATCCACTCCATTTGCACACTGACAATAATTAGCAGTTAATAGTCTGTTATAAACACACTATGTCACCTATTCAAATCTTATGGTGAATTTTATAGACGTTAACAATGCAATTAAATAAAAATTCAGAAACTTCACTATTATAGTGTTAATCATAAAAATGTCTGATGATATGTCATTGAAAACTGACATTTTACACAAGTTAATTCAATATTATTGATGGTGAAACAATTCTTGAAAGAATAAAAAATTTTTAATGCAATTGTGTAGAAATAAACCTTTTAAAAAGCTCCCTCAAAATGTATTTGTGAAAAAATAGGCTTTATTATCCAGTCCATTACTATTATCAATATTATTATTAATATTATCACTATGGTTGAGTATTCGAAAATAGTAACAACAAATATTCTTTGTAATTTGACAAAAATATTAACCGTGCATTGTATGTATCCATGCCAAAATATGAAAATGTCATACTAAAGTTTGCATAACACACAAATGACAAAAAAATATACTCAAACGACTCATTGAATATTTTGACAATTATGAAAGAAAACCAAAAGCCATTGTAAAGATTTTCTAGATTGTTTTAAAATGTATTTTAAAGTGTAGATAAGTAATTATATGTGGATTAAGCGTATAAACAAAATGATTCAATTTTAAGTTAGGTTTATTCATAAACCGATACTAACTCATGAAATATTGTAAGCTAAGAGATACTAGTGTTCGGTGATACTTTAACTGCTATCAGATTACCAAAGCGGTTTGTAGAGATTCTTAAATTTTATAGTTTAGATTGCAGACTGATAACTGAAAACTGGATGTATTGGTCTGCTGCTTCTGGTCAATGATAACATGTGATCACTGAAGTGATTTTATTCTACATCAGTACTTACGGAAATAACTTTTAAGCCATTGAATTATAAAACAATATTCAATCAGTATTTTGTTTTCCTCTGTTATGCATGTTTATTTTCGAAAACTTACTCCTGTCTCCATCAATTGAGAAATATTTAACATTGGAATTTATCAATAGATAGAGATTAGTGTGAATATATGTAAGCTGATATTCACATCTAAACTGTTTGATAAGATTATCAGATTGTTCAGAATAATGAATAAATTCTAATAATATTACAGAATAATTAATATTTAATAACTTATTTTGTCATTCGTTATTTTTCGAGAAATTGAAAAGTCATCGATATAATAAACAGGCAAGATGGATATCCAATTGAATACAAACTCATTATACCCTCTCATCTTCTAAATAATCTCAAAATAAAAAAAGCTTCGGAAGAGAAACAATGAAAGCAAAAACTGATGTGTGTAAGAAGTAGGATGGATTTGTTATACATCTTGTAATGCAGTAATCTAAACATTTGTAAAATTGTAAGATATTTTCGGTTACCAGATTATTATGTCCGAGCTTTCGATTGTTAATGATGAAGAATAAGATCTATCTCATGATAGGATTCTAATCTTCATTCAAGAGTTCACCGATGAAAAACTATTTATTACATAAAAGTATTACTAATAGTTATTCATTTTTATTTAAGAATCAAATTATTATGAATTACTTACTTCATGTATGTTTCTTCCAAATCGATTTTTTCTTTTTTAGTTCGTAAAAGTTCATTTCGAAAATCATTTAGAACAATTTTAAATGGACTTAATAATTCTGGATAATTCTGTGATATTACACTCTCTAATTCACAAACACTACTGTATCTAGAAAAAAACAATCAAAAAAACGAAATAGAGTAAAATAAGATAAATAATTTAGTGCAAACAAAAAGTGACTATTTAAACACTACATTGATAGAGTTTGAGTCATTAGCGAAATATACTACTAAATTTACACTATAAGTAGAAAGACATTACTGATACTGCTAAACAAATCTCAAATGCATTCACTGATCAGACTGTTTAGACTAATTTTCACCATACAAAATAGTATTAAACTCCACTCTGAATAATGGAAGTTGAGATACAGGATTTCGATTGGCCTAATTTAGTTAAACATACTGAACCAATAGATTGTAACCAAACTCCTCATGTTGTTCAGTAGTCAATTAAGATATTGAACGTACATTTAAAATAAATATTTGTAGGGAAAGGGTAACTGACTGACCAATAATCTGTGTCGTTTACGCATGTAAACGTATAAATTCCAAACTATCGAACCTGTATCTGACCTACAACATTCCATTGAAATTATGGGTGACACATTCCGATTTAGGGAATATATCGACTAAAATTTGGATTGTCATCTTTCATTGTATTTAACACTTAATTCACTCTCTTTATTTTCAACCTTAATTATTCACTTGTTTTGTGTGCTACATCGATAATTACCTCTGCTTTAAAAATACTTACATCAGTGACTGTATCTCACTTCACTAAAGAAAATACAAGGGTATTCAGTGTTTGATGACTGTTATGCTTGAATGCGCTCACTAGACTTCTCTTCACTTTTCTATTTTTCCTGGTTGACTTTAAACCATATCCTCATCGTATCACTGATTGTTTATTGTAGGAATACTTATAAAACAGTTAATCAATGTAAATAAAATCTATCTAAATCAGCAAGCGCATATATGACGACAGATCTGTCACAGTAATTTTTGTTACTGTTTTATGTTCTCTATTTTTGTTCCATTTCGTTTTCCTCCCTAATCACAGATGATTATAAGTAACTTATAACGGTACTGGAATTGCTTTGAAAAAAATTACGTCTCAGATGACCAACTAAGAAAACACTGTTTCCCAACTACTTGCTTCACATAATTATTATAATCTTTCCGACAAATATCCCAACAAAACAACCTGTGAATCACATCTTTTCAAACGATACACTATAATAAGTTCTTTTTATGTTACAATTCTTTATGCAGCAACCTAACCATGCCCGTGAGCAGGCATGCATTCTGTAGTCATATTCACAATATAACTTATTAGTGGTATCAATACCGAAGTTGGAATTGATGGTTTCAAATAAATTGAGCATTAGAGATAACGTTGATAATAATATGATAATGATACTTTTGTGATATGAATATTATTAAAAATATATTAAAACAAAATTATCTATCTAGGAATGAAAACCTAGGTGAAAGATCTTGGATTGGTACTGTAGTTGTATCTTACCGCCAAGGTACGGCAGAAGAATTACAACAGTTCATGAAATTTTACAGAATTAAAGCCTTCGATAAAACATTCAACACTCTGAAACGGTCTAGTTAGAAATGAAGATACGATCCCATTTGCATTCACACAAAATGGTGTCAACAGCTCAAGTTGCGTCAATTGTGATATGTTCTACCCTGGAGAGTCTACTCGTAAAATATCGACTCGCGCTAAGGAACACTTAACTTACACAAAAAGACCTAAAAATCTTATAGAGCTGGACAATTTCCAAATTAAATCGGCAATAGCAGTATATGCTATGTTCAATAATCAGAAAATTGATATTAAAAGTGTTGAGACGACTTGAGAAAGGTTTTCCCAACTATAGAGAGAGGTGACTAACCGAAGTATTTCATACAATGCTAAATCTCTCTACTCTCAATAGAAAAGAAGGTCTGACTATCCATCCAACTTGAACTTTTTATTCAAACAATTACATTTGACTCGATTCATTTTCCACACAGTCTACACTCAAGCACACTGAAACTTTAACTACATTCCAACATTTTGGAAATCATACATTTTTCATACCCACTAACATAGTGATGTCTCATACAGAATCACCATGACCAAAATTAACATGACATTGACACACTCAGACATATTGTGATTTTGACTGTCTTAAAATGTATTCCACTTTGTTTCTTTCGTACCATTTAGATTTATGTCAATTTATTTCATTTGTTTATTTACTTATTTACTCTGAAGAAGTGGCTAATATTCGGTTATGAAGTCAGAAATACAAATTTCTACTGGTGGGTATACCCCAAAAATACAATTATTTTATTATTAATGTAAACGACATAACTGAATCAAAATATTTTGACTGAATATTGTAACACATCTCAGGCCTACAGGAGGTTCGTCGCGGCTCGGATAGCTCAGTGGTAACGTCTCTGACTGTGAAGCTGTGTGGCACAGGGTCAAATCCACCAGTGAGCACCAGTTCCCTCGCTGACACATCGCTGACGAGTGTCAAGTATCACGAAACCTAGGTCCATGGTTTCCTGTTGACTACCTCCAACCACCATCTTATCTCAACATAGTGCGCACAATATCGAATCATCTAGACTAGTGGCCACATTACAACTTGGTTGATAGGATTCGATCTGCACTAAGAAGGACCTGACATATGTGACAGTGATCACCACCCAGTAATCAATCAATTGAATATTCTATACACAAACAACAGTATTAATTCTTTAATACTCATGCACATAGTTATTTAGCAAAAATATTATCATTCCAAAATTATTTAGCTAGGATTTGCGAATATATACCATGAGGAAATTATCAATTCAGCTACCTTACTTACTCCAATAATTTTATCAATTAACAGAACTGTTGTAAGAATGATTTATTCAATTACATTATAAATAAGTGATTTGGAGATTTGTTAGAATAAGCAAAATAATGTAATAGCTAAAAAGGTAATCTATTCGTGTTCGCATCTTAGAAAGAAAATTATATCTCTATAATAAAATAAAATTGCGAAAAATCATTAAAATTTTTGTTACCATGATACATCATAGAAGAGTCAGTTGAAAAATTCATTTATCAAATCTTTGAATGAACAACTAATCAAATCATGTTACAACTTATATAACAATCTGATCTTAGCCATTATAAACCAGGAAATACGAAGCTCAATAGTATAGAAACAGAAGCCTTATCACTTGGACTCAAATTTCATATACCAAAAACAAATACGGACAGGATTGATACAGAAGCTCAATTTGAAAATCTGTTTGACCAGTTAAAAGATTTGCAACCAATGAATGAGGAAAAGAAAGGATGGTTCAAATCAAAGTTAGTTGATATTGCCAACCAATACTTCGTGTCATCGACACCAAAGTCGAATGTTCTATCCAAAGAACATCTAACAGCCCTAAGAAACATCAAACAAAATAATGAGGTGATGATTCTACGACCGGATAAAGGTTCAGGTGTAGTCTTAATAGATACAGCTGATTATGTAACTAAGATGAAGTCAATCCTAGACGATCAACTTAGGTTCAAGGTAGATAAATCCAAAAAAGATTTGACTGATTCAACAGAAAAACGAATCACAGGAATGCTCAGAGAACTTCTAAAAAAGAAAATGATTGATAATTCTACGTACAACGATCTAAGACCACGTGGTTCACGTCTACCTCACATGTATGGTTTACCAAAAATTCACAAACATGACGTTCCCCTCAGACCTATCCTATCAATGATCAACTCACCGTATCATAAAGTTGCACGCTGGTTAGCAGTAAAACTAGAACCGGTTCGTCGGAGATTAGCAACATACACGTTAAGAGATTCATTCCAGTTTGCTGATAGATTAAATCATACGAATGTTACTGATAAGTTAATGGTCTCTTTTGATGTAACATCATTGTTCACCAATATACCACTTTTTGAAACTATTGATATAATTTGTCAGAATGATGATCTCCTACCTTTACCAGCTCCAGAACTCAAAAAACTACTACTAATGTGCACAACTGATGTTCAATTCCAATTTAATAACACCATATATCGCCAAATCGATGGCGTAGCAATGGGGAGTCCACTAGGTCCAATTCTGGCAGATATTTTTATGGGGTATCTTGAAAACACGGTACTTAAACAGGCGATCAGTGAAACGACGGAATACTACAGATATGTGGACGACACATTTATTGTCTGTAATAATAAACAGCATGCAACCCGCCTGCTAGAACTCTTCAATAACGCTCATCCTAACATTCACTTTACTATGGAGCACGAACAGAACGACATGTTCCACTTTCTTGATGTTGCCATAAGACGTAGGAAAGACGGGACAGTACAACGTTCAGTTTATAGAAAAAGCAATTGGAATGGCCTCTATCTGAATTTCAATAGTTTCTGTCCAATTAGTTACAAGAAGGCACTGGTTAAAACACTATTTGACAGGGTAGAAAAGATATGTACCACCGACAAACTTGAAGAAGAATTAATGAACCTAGAAGAATGTCTAAGAAACAACTTCTATCCACAAAAGTTTATTGACAAATATAAAAAGCCCAAAGAAAACAAGACGGAAATAACTACGGTCAATAAAAAGACAGTATCTATAAATCTTAACTTTAAAGGTGATAACGTCGCACAAATAATCAGTAGGAGACTGAATATTGCGCTTGCCAGAACTTATCCGGCTGCTAAACTTTTAATTTTCTATAAAACAACATGTTCAATAACTCAATCAAAGGTCGACAAGCAACCCTTTCATGTTACCGCCAACTGTATTTATAAATTTACGTGTACCTGCCAAAGCAGCTACATTGGCAGAACAGAAAGGAGAGCATACCTTAGATTTTTTGAACATGTTCCAAAAAGTCTTAGAACAAGGGAAAGAAGGACTCTGAATAGTGCAATCACCAAACATCTCCTTGATACAGGACATCAGGTAGATACCTTACAATCCTTCAAGGTGATTAGTAAGCAGCCAAACTCCAGTCTTCTGAAGTTTGCTGAAGCCGTTGCCATCAGGCGTCAAAAACCTGACCTATGTGTTCAAAAGGAGATGGTTG